ATCAAACCTGCTGGTACCTTGATCTTGGACTTAACAGCCTCCAGAACAGTAAACAATAAATTTCTGTTGTTTTTAAGTTACCCAGTATAAGGAGCTTTATTATCCCAGCCTGAACAGACTAAGATAACCCAAATGGTGATCTTGATATTGTGTGTACTTTTAGGAAGGTGTGGAGCCCTTAAAGTTCAAGAAAGGGGCTCTGTATGTGGTTTATGCTATCTTTCTTTCTTCATTCATTCATTCATTCAATCAATAGCGTTAGATGGTGGAAGGGAATTAGGAATGGTCACATTGTGGTTTTTGACCATTTGGTCATGAATTCATTCCTTCTTCAAGTACTTACTGAGCACTTACTAATACCCACCGACCTCAAGGGTCTATAGATTTAGGAGCTCTGATTATGAACCAAGGAGGCATTTCTTTCTTCACTGTGCAGACTTAACCTTTGCACTGGTCCCTTGGGAAGCTGGGAAAGTATTCCTGGGAGGGAACTGGTACCCAGAATGTCTTTGGGAACTCCTGTTTAGAAGTTCAAACCCAATTCAGAAACCAGGGAGAAAAATCGCTTTCAGTACTTTTCAATTCTCTCTCTTTTAATTTTTTTTTTTTAGAAAGAAAGGATTTTCTCCCACTCAACACACACACACACACACACACACACACACACACACGCTTCACCAGATAACACCGTCTGACTATTAGAAACAAAAAATTAATTTGTCTTCTCACTGCCTAAAAAGCATGGGCGTTGGCAATGAACACATCTGAGTTTGAATCCTGAGTGCACGTAGCCTGCCCACACACACACACACACACACACACACACACACACACGCTTCACCAGATAACACCGTCTGACTATTAGAAACAAAAAATTAATTTGTCTTCTCACTGCCTAAAAAGCATGGGCGTTGGCAATGAACACATCTGAGTTTGAATCCTGAGTGCACGTAGCCTGTCCATGTAATCATGGCGAAACGACTTAACCTTTTCAAGTCTCATTTTATTGTCTTTAAACTAGATGTGATAATAAACCTTATCACATCTGTGTAAGGGTTAGAGATAATGTACTTACAAGGTTTAATGCAACACCCTGTGCAGAGACAAAGCTCAATAAATGATTTTGCAATTTCTAACTCCCTAGTAGACTTACAGAGCTTTACATTTGGGACAGACTTAGCCCCAGAGTCTAAGAGCTAAATTACACATTGGACAGGTAATGCCAGCACGTTTGTTAAGATGCAGTAAAGTACAGAATGGCGGGGCCCATTTTTTCTTCTTAGACTACAAAGAATCATCTGCCTAGAGATCTCAACAGGTGCCCCCAGCAGGGGTGAACTGGGGGAGAACTGAGGCCCCCTACAGAGCGAAGTCCTGGTAGCCAGTACCACTCCCTGGAAGCTGCAGGCAGAGGTGACAAATCTGCAGGTCCTAAGACTGTCATAGGATCTGGACTCAAGGCTCAGTGGCAAGGGAATCACCTTCACCTCTCTCCACTCTAGCTTTACTGTCCAGCAAAGGATGGACAGTGGAACTGGCTGTGGGAGAAGGACATGGTTGCCTCCCGTGTGGCCCTCTCTTCCCCTGCCCTGGAGCCAGTCTGGACTCTGCCACACACAGAACCAACACCAAGGTCGTTGTTTTACACTCTCGTCAACTGCGCACATGTAGTATACCTTCTTGTGTCCTTACAAAACCAGCTCAGCATTGGAGGGCTAGTAACTACCAGCCCATGGGATCGACAGGGACATCGAACTTTGCTGTAGATTACACATGAGTCATTGATTCTAGTCTCAGGGCTGGGACTGAAACCTGGAAGTAAATCTCCTGTCTCCAACCCCCTGTGCCGAGCTCTACAACATATCAGAAACACCTTCAGCAGACCCACTTGCACCGTCCCCACCACAGCCTCACAGCTAAAGGAAATCAGCCCCTCAGAAATACAGGTTTAAGCCCTCAAGCCCTAAAGGGTAGACAGAAACAGCAGAAAGAATGGAAGGAAGAATGACAGGAGGATACTAAATACCCGGGCAGAAGGCAGTCTTAGAAACGGCATGGGGCGGCAGGAAGAGCACGCTCTTCATCAAGAGCCCGGCAGACTGGCTCTGATCCTCATTAGCCATGTGACCTTGGGCAAGTCACTCAACCTTTCTGTGTGCCCACCTTAAAAAGCTATAGGGTTGTTACGAGAAGTCAACAAAACTGGGAGAGCATGTGGAGCCTTCTGCAGGGTGCCCAGCACGTGGAATTGATTAGGATCATCCTATGGAATGTCAGGGCCGGAAGGGGCTTGAAAGATGACCTAAGCCTGGTGTCTCATTTCACAGACAGAGAAAACAGGGCTCAGAGAGAGGAACTGACTTGCCCAAGGTCACATAGCAGAGTCATGGTGATGTCAGGTCTATCACCTCTATTTATTTTGAAATCAAAGACCAAAACCTATGAATAGACCTGATCTTCCAAGCTGCATGAGGGTAGGAGGAAGATTGATCAGTGGTTTCTTCACTCACGAAGTCCTAAACCGTAAGCTTGCTTTCTCCACTTAACAAACAAAACTGTAATATTTCTGCCCAGAAAAATATAAATATGGAAATTTTTAAAACAACAAAATTAAAACTAAAATCCCAGGCTGGCCTTAACAAAAAAAAAAAAAAAAAGGACTCCTTTAAGCCTTATTTTTTTCCCGCCTTCCTCTCTCACTGCCCCCCCACCCCAAATATTTTGCAATAACAGTAATGCTGCAAGGAAAGAAAAAATAAAAATCCGATGCACTTCACAGATATTTTGGTACAATAATGCATCACAGATGTTCATATCAGACTGTGCACGCGCACATGCAATTTTCCTTAGAAGGCTGTTGCATTTCTGACTTTGGGTTTGGGGATCCCTAATGACCCCATCTGTCCAGGCTCCCACATCCCACCCTTCCCAGTCGGTCCAAGGCTGCCCAAGGGGATGGAGGGCAGATTTCATCACCTCTCTCCACAACGATAACAGGACAAATTGGCACAGTCGGACACTCTGGCAGGTGGTGAAGGGTGTGCAGATTAGGGAACCAAGAGGAGTGCTGTTTTCTTTTGTTTGGGACTTGCTTTCTGCAGCCCCTTCGAGGTGCTGGACCCAAGGACAATTTTAAAAGCAGCCCGGCTGGTGATGGGGTGGGTGCATTTTTGAAACAGAGATCGGAGTCTGTTTGATCTTCAAACATGGGCTTTGGAGACTGTCAGCAGGCTCCTTGCTGGCCGATGAATGGCTCTCAGGAACTTTTCCTAAAACATAACCTCACACACTTTCCAGCAAATGTTTTCAACCTACCAAAGCCGTCACTGGGTTGAACAGCAGTGTTTCCAGACCCCGAAGAAAGATAGTTCTGTTGTTTTAAGAGAGACAGATTAAAGCCAGGGGCTGTTGAAGCAGAGAGTGTGTATGCTCCCCTCAGTCCCTGTCAGATTCCTCTCTGGTTGGTACAAAGAGGGTGTTGAGAGTGATGGTGGATCCCCCACCTCCCCAACCTAAAAAAGATATCGAGGCCAGACGTGAGGCCTCTGAACAGAGAGGCCTCCCACAAACCTGCCTCCAGAATGAGAGGGGCGTGAGCGCCGGGGGGCCGCCACAGATAATATCAGCTCCCGAGGCTGGCAAGGGAAAAGTCACTTCAGAGGGAGAAAGCCGCTATGTTCAGAGGACTCAGCACTGGGCCAGAGAATACACAGGATTTTCCCCCGTGGAGAAGGAGTCCGGCGTAGTCAGAACCCTGCGGGGCGTGACTAACTGCCCCAATATTCCTGCCACCGGGGCCCTCTGGGTAAGGACTGCACAATTATGGGAGAGCCAGCAGGAGAACCGACAAACCCGCCTTTCATTTGGCCGGCAAATCAATCTAGCTTCTTACCTCCCTGGGGACAATATTGCATTTCCCCTGGAAAAACAAAGGCCAGGGATCTCGGAAGGGGGATCGGTTTCTGCCGCTGTTTCCCTGGTGAAGAGCCTGCAACATCTCGGGAGCAGAGAGCAGGTCTGACTGCAGGAGTAGTTTCTGGTGCGGACAATTTATGGGGGCCGTCTCCTTCATGCGGAGCGTGTTTCTGGGCCCTCCTCTCACATAGGGCATCAGACCAAGCCCCATCTTGGGGCCCCTTGCTGGAGCCACCAGCGGGGACTTGGAGCTCCCATCCTGGGATTGACAGACCGGTTCTCAAGGCACAGATGTGCCCTCATTGTTCCCAGGCCTCAGAGTTGAGTTTGGGGCTGAGTTGTGAGTGACCTCTGCCCATGGAGACAGGGTTTTTAATGACATTTCTCTGGATCAAGCCAGAGACTTTAAACCTCTTAAGCCCCTCCCTTCTCCCTGCCCCCACTCCCTCCTGAGGTTCAGAAATCAGAACTGTCAACCTGTAAGCGAACACACTTCCCTGAAATTATTAACCCCAAAACTCTCCTTGCTGACTTACTTCCAGCCTTAGGGAGGCAGGCTCACGGTTGCCTAGTGCTTTGCAAAGGCAGGAGGAACTCCACAGTGCTTAACCTTAGACAGCAAACCCGTACTCCATGGGTGCCAGGTCCACGGCACCTCCTTGTCGCCCTGCCCCAGGAAGCACAGGAAGCACGTCTTCCTCTGTGCCTCCTCCACACAAACACACACCCGCTGGTCCATGCACACACAACAGCCTCCAGACGCCAGGGCCCGGGAAGGCCTGCCTCAAACTAGCAACTCCCTCTTTTTGTTTTTGATCGCTCAGATGCTGGGAGGGAAATTCCTTCTGCTCAGGCAAGCACAGCAGGTGGAGCGTGTATATGCCCAACAGGTAACGCCTCTGAAATCGGAGGGACGCCCAAAGTCTTCCTCCAAATTCTGGCATGCACACACCATTTCCTCACACCACCAAAGCAGCCAGAGTGGGCCCTGCAGTGGGGAAGAACCTCTCCTTTCGGGGAAAGGACCAGGCTGCCTGCCTGGAGGAGAAGGGGAGCCAGGGAAGGGGTTGGGCGCGCAGGCCTACCTGGGAGAAGTTGAGCCCGTTGAGCGGATGACACTGCTCCTCCACCCGCTCCACCGCGCCCGTGCTCTTCCTCATCTTCTCAGCCTGCTGGGCCAAGTAGAGGTCGAGCACCGGCACGCCACGCGAGCGCACGTCCGTCTCCGTGAGCGAGTTCACCATGAGCATCACCCACACGGGCCTCTTTCGCTCCCAGTTGCCCGCGATGGCGTTGAACAGGTAGTCGGCATACAGTCCCTTTCCCCGCTGGGCCGGCGTCATCCACGAGGGCATCATCAGCTTCACGTAGTCCAGGTGGCGCTTCAGGCGCCAGTAGAGCTCGCGGGGCAGCACGTCCTGCAGGTTCTCCCCGTGTGGCAGCAGCTGGCAGCTGGCCAGCGCCGAGATGGTGTAGGGGTCTGTCAGGTCCAGCTCGAAGTAGACGCGGGCGCTGGCCTGGAAGGCCGCCTTGGAGTTGTCCGGAATGAAGTCCCAGACACGAGTGTAGGGGACATGGATGGTGCCAAACAGGTAGGCTGGGGGGTCGCGTCGAATTGTCCACAGGAAGGAGTTCAGGTCCCTCTGCTGCAGGGGGTGAGGAGAGGGGGAGGCAGTGAGGTCACAGCCAACAGAATGGCCGGGCAGGGGAGACAGAGGCAGAGACCTACAGGTGTGTTAAAGGGCAATGGCTTTAGAAAAGACTCGTGTTCAAACCCTGGCTTTGCCTATCTTAAATGTATGATCTTGAGTGAATTCTGTCACTTTCCAGACTCAGTTTCCTGAAATGGGGCTGAAAGCAGCTGCCAGGGATTGTTGGGGGGATGGGGGGGGTTGAAGGTGCAGTATATGTACATCAAGCCCTCAGAGCAGCGCCAGGCACAGAGGAAGTGGGCAGTGAAGGGAAGCTCGTGTTACCCTTCGCTTTTGCTGTGAGTGCCAAGGGCTGCCACACCACCTGAGAATATTCATGCTTGGCCAAGCCAAACCTTCGCCCGTGGTGTTTCATGTGAAGGGTGGAGAGAGGGGGACCAAAAGTCCCACTCTGGCAAGACGGGAGGAAGTCATATAACTTTAAAATCCAACCATTAGAAGATACATGCCAAGAGCACTTTGAAAGCAGAACACCCATTAAAAATAGCACACCTATTTAAACAGCTACTTCCCATTCACTGGGGTGAATTCAGTTTTCTTTTTGGAGGGCAGGTCTGGGTGTAGGCTATGCTGCTCCACCAGCTGAGACAAGAGATGAGAAAGTGCTTTAAAACCTTCCAAGGTCAAGTCTCAGTGTCTGATTCCAGAAGAGAAGAGTCTATAGGATTAGTCACAAGAAATGTACATGTTCTGGGTGCTTTTCAGCTCCCCCCTAAAAATGTAAACCTGGTCTCTGACCCCAATTTTGTCATTTTTTATGACCTAAATTCTGACTAGGAGAGTGTGTGTGTGTGCGCGCGCGCGCGCGTGCGCGCGCACGCAGTGCATGTGGTGGTGGTAGTGGTGGTGGGGGGGGTAATAAAGGGACATTCAGTCAGGGATCACTTCTCCAGATCCAGATTGGGGCCAAAGGTAAGAGGCATGAGAAAGAGACAATCATTTCTCTCAGGAAAAGACATTATCTATCCAGAAAAATATCTCGAGTGCCCACTGGTCACTTGCAAGCTTGTATCAACCCATAACATTTTTCTCCTGATTCAGGCACAGACAAAAAGAATGTGTTGGGGTAGGTTTGGGGGGAGGGGGACAGTGTCTTACTTTACTAACAACCAAGACTGTAAATCCCAGCATGCTGCAGATAGACCCAGTGTCCCCAGCCAGTCAGCAAACTCCCCGTCTGAACACCAGGCAGGCAGCTAGAGGCGCACCTTGCCCAAGGTCAACGGACTGCCAGCACCAGGGCAGCCCAGGAAACCTTGTAACCATCCTGTTTCCTGGTCTGCTGGTCTCAGATTCCGGCTTATTGTTAACGCATTAATTTACACTTACAGGGAAGGATACGGAGGGAAATCAAGAGATTCCTTGACTGGGGAGGGAGGAAAACTAGGAGAAACAGCAATTACTCAACCCCCAAGGAAATATTAGGCCAGCAAGTCCTGGCATTTCCTTTTTCTCGTCTCTGGAATCTTCCCCCTTTTTATGAAATAGGGGCACTTGGCGGAGTAGGGGCCAGGGCTTGGGCTGCAGAAGGAGAGCGAAGCGGACCGCACCAGGGAGAAAGCTTGCCGAGGGCAGAGCGCGTGGGCAGGGAGAGGGAGGGAAGCCTGGGAGAGGGCAGAGTGTGAATGAGAAGGCGAAAGGGGTGGGATGGAAGTGGGAGAAGAAGGGCACGGAATGGCAGAGACAGAGTCAGGAGAGAGCAGAAGAGACCAGAGGGTAAAGGCAGTAAAGACATGAGAAAACTCAGCACGAAGACAGTCAGGAGGAGGCACAGAGAGAGGGAACGTCCAGGAGGACCGAAAGTCGAGGAGAGCCGGAGAGCGTCAGAGTACGCAGAAGGAACGCGAGAGAGCGAGCGCCCAACTGGGCTCCGGCTCGCGGCTGGAACCCGGGCACAGAAGCGAGGAAGGGCGCCCGAGGCTGTGCCCGGCGGACGGAGGTGGGGCGGGTGGGCTGAGGTAGGTGCGGGAGGCAGGACCCAAACCATCGGCCCCCGGGCTGTAGTGGCCGGGCGGGCGGGAGTGTCCGGGCAGGCGCTCGCTCACCGATCCGGGCGGCCGGCGAGGAGGGCGGCGAGCAGCGGCCCGGTCAGGGCGGCGAGCATCCTGCCGGGGCCCGCGGGGCGCGGGGGACCCTCCTGGGCGGCGCCCCCTTTAAGGGCGGGGAGCCCCCAGCTGGGCACGGAGTTTCCTCCGGAGCACCGGGCTCCAGCCGCGGGATGCTGGGAGCCCTCTGGGGCGTGGCTGGATGTCCCCGCCGGACCTGGGGGTCCCTCTGGGGCGGGGCTCCTTCAGTGAGAAGAGGGGGACCCTCTGGGGCGGGGCCCCTCACCAGGGAGCGCAGCCGGGTTGGCCGGTCCCCAGGACTCTGAGAGCGTGTGGGAGTCTTGGGGCACAAGGGGGTCCTGGAGCTGCGTCGGGGTCCAGCAGTGCGCGGGGGTCCTGGGGCAGTGCCGAGGTCCCGGGACGCGCGGGGGTCCTGGGGTTATGCTGGGCACCCGGGGCGTGCTAGGGTCCCAGGGGTGCGCGGCGCTCCAGGGGGCGCGCAGCGGGACAAGTGCGGCGGAGGGCTCGGCGGAGACGGGGGTCGGGTCTGGGGCGCCCGGCTGCCCCTGAGCCCG